TTTTAGGTCATTCATTCTGTCCACTTTATATCAAGTATATTTTGATGCTATCCAAAACAACCATATTGCTTATGGTTCTCCTTCTTCTTCTTCTGCTTTCGGTACTTTTTGTGCTGCAGCAAAATGACGAAAACGATGAAGCAAAATTATTGGATAATTAATTGTATTGAATTTATTAAAACGGTAAAAATTGTCACTCAAAAATCACGTGGTCAGACTTATCGAGAGTCATTTGTTATAAGCCGATTGAATGGTTGTCCGACTTACAGGTTTATTATTACCGCGATTTTGTCCGACTTATCGAATTTTTTTAAATAGTCGAAAAAAGGGGCGAAAAAATTTGTCCGAGTTAAGCCAAATCCGGCTTATCGAGTGTCCGACTTATCTATGTAGCAAGTTTTCATTCTTTATTTGTTTATTTATTATTAATTTAATTAAGTAAAATTATCCAATGTATTCGCTTTTGGATTATTTGTTTTTATTCTTATAACATGAAAGGAAATTGTGTTACGATGAATCCTATTGGTCTCAGCCTAGTCATCAATATACCATTGTAGCTTCACAAGATCATTCCTGAATTGCAAGGTGGGGGTTTCTTCCCTGTCAATAGCCCTCAGGTCTGTAAATTGTTTGCTCTTCTCGTGTTTGCCAACAGCAGAATGTGAAGGTAAAAATCATAAAGATGTGATTGACAGCTGTCGTGCCGACTATCACGGGAGAGCAGATAATAATCGGCACTTGGGTATTTTAGCTAGTGTCGACGGAGCGTGGCGCCTCCTTTTCTAGTTAAATCTCTGACTACAGTTGGTGATATTGTTAAATCAGGACTTTACACTTACGAAAACCTTGCGTCGTCGTAGAGTGACGCTAAATTCTGGATATTTAATCGTACTCGAGTAACTATGTTCGTGGGATTAAATCGATAGCCTCCCATTGGAGCACACTGTGTATTGAATTAAACGCGTTTCTAAATAACAATTAAATATCGTAAGTCGCCACTCAGAGAATTGCAGGATAAGGATTTGGCTAGAGCTTCCTGGTATTGACTTTCTATTTTTCTTTATCGATTGGCATACTGCTTTTATCTCCGCGTCGTACTTGTCGAGTTTGGCGTCTTCGGGAAATTCTTGCGCGTCTGGTAGGACAATTGCAAAGTTCTTGTATCTTTAATAATATCCTCAGGTTTTGTCGGGGGTAACAGAAATGCAGAAGTTGTTAATAATTTTATCACGTTGCTTCTTGAGGGGTTTTGCTTGAACGTTTCAGCGGCGTAAACAAATGTGCTGAAGTTGTGACTCTCCACTAATTTACCCATACCAGGTCCACAATACAGTCATTTGAATATGGCTGAAATTCTCTGCACATTGAACATAAATAAAGTTTTATTTAGGACTCTGTGGTCAGCTTAATATCAATAATAGCATATTCTTTTGCCCATTTTAAAATTGGTCCATTAAGCTTTTTTCAATAAACTTTTCTTGGTGACTGTAAAATTCTCCCCATCTCACAAAGTTTTATTGACCATCCATCTCTTCATCATAGCCAATACTTAGTGTCATATGGAATGTCTCTGGCCTTATTGCAGATTCTACAAAATCTTGAAATGACTTTGGTGTGGGTGCTGCATAACGATCTTGGTAACAGCATCTTAAATGTAATAATACTTGTCGTGATGACGTCTTTATTAATTTGATAACCCAAAGATGATAATAATAAGAAGAATTGTTTTATTGTTTTATTTTGCATGGTCACAACAACTACTTGTCATTTACAATGTGTTGTGACCATTGCGCTAAAAATCTGCGCTGGACACAGACATCCTTAGTTCTGTGTCCTTAAATCAGCCATTAGGGGTGATTTGCAAAAATACCATTCGAATCGGTTAATTTATGAAAAACATGTCTTTTTGCATCAATGTAATCACTTATTATTTTTATTAAAATCACAAGTAATTGTCGTGAATTTATTATCATAATCAGTTTTACTCGTACAAAGATTTGATAATTATTATGCCTGGCGTGATGCAGGCGTGCGATATTCTTACAACGATAAACATTTCTTACTATTATTAATATTACTTTTACTCGCCTACTAATAATTACAATCATGATAATTGTTTGAACTCTTCACCCCCTGAAAAAAGAAATATTTAGTGCACTATTCACTGTAATCACTTATTATCTATTCACACTGTCCGGATCGCCAAGTTTAACCTATTGCTATGGACCCGGCAGATCTAACGGCAGAGACAAGGTTGGTAAAGAAACCTTTGTGTACCTTCAACTATTCCAGCAGTTTTGTTCTCTCCCCACTCACTATTATTATGCCTAACCTCGATCTGTAGTGCTGCTGTTGCCGACATATGCTCCATCGTCTCTTTCGGTCAAACTTTGTACAACCCCGTGAACAATGTCACTTTACATTGTGTTCAGCTGACTGACTCTCAAATTCCTCAGTTAAGGCGAGAGCGTCTCGAGGAAGCCGAAAGGGTGCTACCCTTTCTGATATACGATTTACCTGTTACCACTGAATCCAATATTCAACCGAGCTTGGCTTTGAAAGTAACTTATGATGTTATGATTTGTCAATAGCTCACGTATTTATTCAATGACACGTCTTTAGACATCTGTAATGATATATTTGAAATCTTTTTTTTTTGTTTAGGATGTTGTTCGTTGCCTACCGTTCCTAAATAACGGAACAAGATTATTGAGGTCAATTCTTATAGAGGCTCCAGTGACATTTCATCAGGTCACGTCTGTTGGATGACAATTGATGCCAGTGAGAAAATTTGCCAAGTTCTTCGTCTGATAGGGTGTATTGTGTCATTTAGATTGTAGATATGCTGGTTGGAATACACGATTTCTTACCTCCGAATTGTCAGAAGAAAATCGGGTAACTTTTATCATTGCGAGAAACTTGTATGTGTTTTTTGGCAGTTTTCTTTCACCTCATACATTATTGATATTTGATATTTTATAGAGACCTGCTATATTCCATGTGCAGTGTGGATTCAAATACATTGGATAATGCAGCTGTTATAAGATCAAAAATAACAAATCGTCATATTCTGCCTGCTCTGGCATTGCGACTGACTTTGAACTACTGTAATGATGAGGTCAGATTAGGACATCTATGAATTTAATCAGGAACTTGCTTCTTCTATTTGCAAACAGTAACCTTGAGAAAACTCTCTTAGATTACATTTATATACGGATTTCTAACAATAAATCCGGTCTGGATCAAGAGACAATGGGGCTCATTACAATCCTTGGCTGACTCGATACAAAGGAAAATTTTTGAAAAGATGCAGCTCGAGTTGGAGAATTCTGAGCCATGCCAAGTACAATTATGTATCTTGTTACACATAGTATGCTTACTTGCCAACATGTCAGCTACACTATTTGAACAACGAGAGTTGGAGCTTTGTATGGAAGTTATGAAGCATGCGCAATCAGAACGGTAAAACTTTTCTTATAATATATTCCTCAATTGATATTACATTAGCATATTACTGAATTTTTTTTTCCTGTAGACTAGTCAAATTGAGTCTGTGCTTTGTATTGATGAGCGTGAATCAACCAAATTTGTGGTCTGGGGTAATTTGGTTTTTTATTTTCCGTATCCTTTCAACGAGATGCGCAAAATAAACATGAACTCATCAGTTTATTGACAGGACGGAATAAGATTGACTCTCAGGAAACTGACGAAATCTGAGCACTCGCAGTTGTTCATGTTGATTGCCCTATATATTAATACCAGGCAGTACAGAGAAATAGAAGAGATAGTCTCTGCCACATTAGGAACCGAAGTATTATTACGTATGATAAACGATTCAACTATATTTTCAATCAGTTTCTTAACGATTATTCTGACAGCTGATTCCTATTTAATAGATTTTTCTACAAATCCATGGAAACAGCTGGAAGCTATTTTTGTGTCAGATTTATTTCCGGATGAAAGTCTAGCTCAGGGAGCCCTACTTCTGGATCCATCCACATTCTCAGGACTAGGGGTACTTGAATTTGAAAAATTTGTACTCATATCTTTGTCCCTTTTGCATTGAGCATACAATTGAATTGCATAAATGCAATGTTATCAACTAGCTAAAGTCAGATTTTATGACCTTGTCATTTTAGGTTTCAAACGACCCCGAACATTTGTCCTTGAAAGTTTTCTTCCAACTACTGAAAGCTGGAACATTTCATAAAACATATATTGATATTCAGAATTGGATTTACAGTCAGATTATTCAAGCGACTACACCGGTCCACCCTGAGATGGGACCAATGCTACGAGAATATGCTTCAAGGTGAGATTTCATAGTTATATACGTATGCCATCTTGCATACTCATTAACAATTCTTCTTGTAAATACAGTATATTTAAATGGAACACAAAGGGAAAGAGCCCGATAACACCTATTCCCGAATCAAAAATTAAAGCATTGTTTCAGACAACTCTTGTAGATATATCAGCTTCCCATGTTTTGATGTTGTTATATGTATTGTACTACAATGAGCAAGTCCGTATACAAGTTAAACACAACGTTGAAAAATGGAGAGGTAGCTATGCATATTACTATGGAGAATTTTGTGAAGTACATAGCCGATATTATATTAATATACTTTGTTTTTAGAGGCGACAACAATGGCTTATTCAGTCAATCTTCTGGAATCGATACCAATACGAAGGATCCTTACATTTAGCGAGACTGCCGACAAAGGAAAAGCCTTTTATGACATTTATCCTGAGCTTTTAGGTCTCGTAGCTGCCAATTATCCCGAAATGTTTGACGTTGTCAGCTTACTGATCGAAGAAGAGCGAAATCCACAGTATTTATGGATTTTTTTTTTTTTTGTTTTTCAAAAATTTTTTTTTTAAACTTTAATATTTAGTCAATGAATATGCTTCTTCTCACTTATTGTAGGTCGGACGTTGATCTGCCACGAATGATTGAAAAAATTCCTCCCTCTGATGTTATTGCGACGGAATTGGAATCAGTTATGAAAATGTGGCTTAGAGCTCCGGATAATGCATATTCAGGTAAGTGGCAACGAAGCAAAGTATTCGATTTGCGTATGTTTTGTTTTTTAATTAATAATTTTCAATTCTTTGTTGTAGCATTGAAAAGTATGGCAACGTGGCCCCCAACGTGTTTAGCTGTCAACGCAAAGACAATTATATCTGCTTCTCTTCCGAGGCTTCTTGATTCAAGGTATTCATATCGGAGGGTTTTGTTAGACTGTCCTGATTTGGGCTCACGAATTTAATTATAACATGCTTAGGACGCAAGAGAGATTCCTCGACGCGTTCAGACAGATATGGGAATCAATGAATAGTGTTATCCCTCATGAGTTAGCCGTACTGACTGTCAATGCATTAATGCCGCAAAGTCAAGAAGAACAACTGAACAAGTAAAGACATTACTATAAATACGTGTTTATCCATTAATAACAACTACTTTTGCTAATGAAAAACACTATTCTGTTCTTGTAGGAAAGCTGAGCCATACAGTCAGCAACAACTTATGATGGATCCACCACTATTGTTGAGATGTGATTCACGAGTTTTCCGATGTCCTACAATATTCAGGATATTCATTCGGGTTCATGTTATAGATTGCTTATCGCTCGATTCCTGTGGTAAACTCTGTGAACTTAATAGTTTAACAAATTATTGCTCTTTTTTTCTTTTCGTAGCTTGTTGGGTTTTATCTGGTGGGATCTCGGCACAGATTCAGACGGCTGTATGAATGCGAAAGAGCACACATCGATCAATCCGTAAGTCGACAATGCAAATGTTAGCTTTCACTATATTTCCGAATAACTTAGTGTGAAGATTATCCCAGCGTTTTTCGGATAAAAACTTCAATACTATGCTTGAAGTGCAAGACAGTTTAACACTGCAGCTGTTACTTGAGATTTGTGAAGAAAAACCTGCCGATCAACATAAAAGAGGTATAATATATAATTAATCCGCACAATTAGCAAATATATATTGATCGATACTTACAAGTACGCCTTGTTCATTTTGTCTGCTTTGCTTTTCTCCTCAGAGGTTCTGGCTGAAATACAGTCGATAACATGCGATTTTTTGCATCAACTGTTTATTGAAAACCCAAACTTGCAAAAACTACTGCATCAACAAAGCTATTCAACCTCCCTGATACCAGTAGTTGTTAAGAAGATAGAATCCATGCGTAAGCGTTACAACATTGAGAAATCTTGTTGCAAAAATTATTGTTTATTATCAATTCATTCACAAATGTTTATCAACAGATGTATGTATAGGGTATCTTCCGGAGCTAATACATCAACATGATTATGAAAAAAGTGCTTTTGGTCTAATATTGGCTTCATACTTATGCGAGGAATGGCCTATGCAGAAAACGTATGTTTGTTAAGTGGATGAATTTGCTCTTACGCACCAAATGAATAGTCTTTCTTAGTATCTTGTTATAATTTCTTAGGTTGCAGATAGCCCGCGAACATGTCTTGCCATCAGTACTGGAAATAGTGACAGCTCCAAAACTACCTCCTATCAATTCGACGTTGTTTGATATTATACGAGCAGCTATTCGAGCAGCCGAAAAGTTCCCGGAGGAGCTGGGAGAGTTGAAATTGAGAATGAAGGAAGAGATGGATGAGTTAAAACGGAGGATACAAGATTTGACTACAGAGGTAAGATTCGCGTATTTGAGCATACATATTTCAGCCGAGGTTTAACGCGTAACCTTCTTAAATTCAGATGAGGATAGGAAGGGAAATAACTAACTACTCGGCCGGAAAGAACTTAATCATAAGCTAATATCTTACACCCAAGAATTGGACAGAATGCTTGTCGAATATCTACCATATCCAATCATTATCTAGAAAAAAGAATTAATTATATCCGAAAAAACATATAAATCGTTGTTACGTGACGTGTAGTAGATTGTGCAATTCAAAATATAAAATTTGGGGTTTCTGACCTCAAATAACGGTTCAGAAGACCTTCAAATCTCACGAACAACCTGAGTTCTTGGTGCACACAACTATCATGGATATGACTTTTCAAAAAGCGTCATAACATTACGTTCGCTCGTATTGCATTCAATTCGATGGGACATATTCGCTACTCTACCCCAACCTTTGAAGACTTGCACCAGAATCTACGGAATATTTTATCTAGAAAATGTCCATAGCTTCGTTTGCTCCTGGCGAATGAGTTTCTAGATGGCGAATCAGCTACCCTTTTTACGACTATAAATAAATGAGAATGTCCTGTTCTTTGGTCACTCTGGTGAGCATCTATTTTCTTTGCTAATACGCAGTGAACTCCGGTTCCGCTTTAATAATCATGGAACAAAGCAATTTGTTAAACCGGACTTCACTTCAATTTTCACCGTTAGTGCCTTCGTTCTTCGCTGAAGGTCTTGTAATTTCACCTTTTTAATTATAGAGCGCTATAGATTTGTCAGAAAAAGGCGCATCAATTATCATTGGTCAATCATGATGTCATTTATTAAGCCTGGATAAATGCAACATGCTACTCCGTTTTCCCTATTACTATTGCCTATATGATAAATACCTGCCATCTTTTCTATTGCTATGTCTGCCTATTGCTATATCATAATCATAATGAACTTTCTTCCTTCTATAATGGCGCAACTCCAACGAGGAGCTTTCGGAGTACGTAAGATACTCCAAACCCCTTATATATCATAATGTTCGTTGTCTTCAAGATCCTCTCTAAAGTACAACGATACTCCCAAGGAGGAACAACAATACTCCAAACAAGAATGGGCGTCCAAACAAGAACGGGCGTCCAAAGAGACCGTGTGGGGCGGCACAAATATTCGCGTGGCGCCCCGCAAATTGTGCGCGGCGGGAATTTTTCAAATTCTTCTACTACAAAAATGTCTTTTATCACCTTCTTCCTCGGCGATGTCGAAAACAAACGTCTACCAAGAGGAGGTGGAATATCTCTTGGATATATCCGAGAACCAAGGAGAAGAGACGTTGGAGGAGTGATTTTTTTATTATCACGACGATACTTCAAACGAGGATGGCACCGCGTCGTGGGGCTCCGCAAATCTACGAGGGGGAAATTTTTAAACGACAACGCCTGAACGGGGAGAAAGATTGTGACCTGGACCTTGCGATGAACACTTACAAAACTTAAGATTAAGATATTGTTTAGTAGTTCCATTTTGTTTATTACTTTAGCTCATGTACACATATCAACTTTACAATAAATTGCCGCGATCAATTTAATCTACATTTCGTGAATGCTCTAGAGTATGGTATGTTAATGTAATTTGCAATTCGACCCTCTTAAAACAATGAGACGCAGGAAGGTTAGTGCTTGAAACGTGTGATCATGAGCAAAAAGCCAAACACATAAACTAGATCTACTTTCCGTTATCTGCTTTTGACATTTTATGATTACGCTCAAGCCAGTAAATTACCGCAATTGTGATGTTTGATGTGGCGTCCGATAAAATTTGAGCCCGCCCCTCCCGAAAATTTAAAGCATATACCTACTTCATACTTTTCACCAACTAGCTGCTATCTCTTAATATGTGTTTATCGAAAATTAAACTAACCAACAGACTCTCTCGGCTTCGAACTGCAATTATAGCCGAGAATATCGCTGGTGTGCCTAGCAGTGAGATTAAGTACTTTATTTCTACTAATTTCACTCGCATGTTCGTTAATACTTTATAACAAATCAGCAAAGTCTGTAAAAGTAATGGGCATTCCTGCTAATTCTACTGTCATCGAAGCTTATCCTGGTTGGTTTTTTCACAATATTTACCTTTACTCTCTCGGACTTGTCTCTTTTTTTTTTTTGTTTCGCTATTTTTCTATAGATATTCGATCGATGCTTTTTCTCCTTTCAACACTCGTATACTAAGATCTTTTTCTCTATATTATACTCTTGTCCACCTTCTGTTTTACCATTGCTTATACGAGAATTTGTCATTTTAAATGAAATTGATTTATAATCAGGATATGGTTTTTTGTCGAAGGCACTCTTGAAAAACACGGAAGCTAATAAGATCGTTGCTATCGAAGGCGAACAAGAGTTTATTAGTGGATTTTTAAAGGTGGGGAAAATTGGGAAGGGGGAAGGAAGGGTGAAAAAGCCAGCGGCATACTTTCGATGATGAACTAGTACTTTAATAAAACCAGTCGCTTGTTCTAATGCATAGGATGTGGAAAACGAGAATAAAGACAAGTACCAACTTTTGGAAGCAAGTCCTCGCAGTTTATATACAGCTGACTATTTCTTACCCAAAAACTATACCGGGGTAGAAGTTTTTCCCTGGGAGCAAGGTACGAGTCTACATATTTTTAATTCTCTTTCCCAAAGGAATGTTTCTAAAGAGGAGACAAAGGTTTCAGTCATCCAGTCGTGATCTCTACTTGAATTTGTGATTTTTTTGTATTCTAAAGATTGGGCTTTTGTTGTTTTTGTTTTTTTTTTCTCTTTTCCTCTCCTTTGCTTTTGTCGCGTTAGAAAAAAGCTGTTCGAGTTTCGGCAAAGTTTGCCTGTGACGTGCTTGCTAATGTATTATTTTGACAGTCCTCGATCAGGTTTAAACTAGAGAGAACAACCCGCTTGAGTAGTTATTATCCGAACTAATCGAATCTGACAGAGAAGAGAACAAACAAACGAGAGTGACACGTCATATGCCGTTAGATCAAAGGTCTCAAGACATTACGTGATAATCTTGTCCACGTTCTTTTTCGGGTCGACCAAGAGCAATGGTTTAAACCTGATTTGAGTGGCATTTAAAAGAAATAGATTTGAAACCTTTAATTTAATCCCGTCATTATCACCCTTTGGGACCGGATTTGAAACGTGTCTGCCTTTTCAAGATCAATTTGCTTATACCTTTGGTTTTCTTTTATAGAACATCCGTCTTTAGTATTCGTAGGCCAGCTTCCAAAGGACAGGTCATTTCACAATGCACAATGGCTTAATTGGATGAGTTGTATCGTGCGTAGGAATTTCGTATACGAATTTGGTCGAGTACGGACGTTTCTGTTCTGTCGCAGTGACTTTGCTCAAGTAAGATTGATGATGGATTTTTTTTTTCTCGGCAAGGGCAGAGGGAAGTGAAAGAGTCAGAATAGCTATTATAGAGAGATCCATCTAATTAGTCCGCTATTATGAGATAATCGTAGAGACTGATGGCCCCAAAGGGTAATGTAAAACGTAACAAATATTCTGCCCTAGCCGAATCTTTGGGAAATGTAACAGAATTAATGACGATTCCAGCAGGAGGATATTTACCAAAGGCAAGTCAATTGTAGTAGTCATGGCAATGTCGATAGATCCCTGGTTTAGCAAATCCGTGAACTTGGTGCGCATGTGTTGGATATGTAGGTTGAGCATACTTTACTTAGTATTACGCCCCATGCTGATATTAAATTGAAAGGTACGTTTTTCTCCCCATTTGTTTGGATCGTATCCAACGGACACGGATTTTATTCTCTTTCCTTTCGTAGGGCCAAATTGGGACGCATTTGCTTACATTATTAGACAACTGTTCTTGGTTAAGACAGTCATGCTAAGCAAATCTATAAAGTAAGTCGACAACAACTGTCGTCTGCTTACACTTATCAATTAATCTAACACATAGTTTACTTAGATCCCTCGGTGCGGGAGCGGATGTTTTGTTAAAAGGTGTTTCTTTTAATCCTGACATTCGCGTTGTGGATATGACGGCAGAGCAGTTCATTGAAATTGCAGAGATTTTTGACGAATGGCCACATCGTCCTTCCGCTTTGCTTTTGACTGATGTTGACAGTTTTGAATGACAATCGAGTCTATGCTATTTTGAAGGTGAGTCCAAGGAAGAAGACAAATTGTAAATTTAGTCGAAAAGAAATCAATGTATGAATAAATGTCAATATTTTATTAATACAAGTAAAAGACAGAATATAAGAACGTCACATAAAAAAACCAGGATGAGAGTATTAAAGGAAGAGCAATAATAAAAGTTGACATGTTTATCAACAATTGCACGAGTGCAGATAGAATTCATAATTATTTCGTTTCCTTCTTTGACCCCCTCCTCTTTCTTCCATGTTAATGCCATAATTATTTTACGTTAGTATTATTTGGCCGTTATTCTCTTCACAGTATAAAAATGAATAAGATGCGTGACATGTATATATTAAACCGTAACCATTATAATCGAACCCAATAGTTGAAGCGAGTAATTGACACACGGGATGGAGATGATGTGGGGATAAACACCGATTAATTATTTGTCTTTGTTTTTGCTTGAGACAACGATTGGCACTACAAAATTTCATTGGGCGGTTAAACGTTAATTTCATTCAAACTTTTTCCAGACACACCTTTCTTGATAAAGACTGTACGCCAAGTATTATATTGACTACTCACCGATAATTATAACCAGCAAGACAAGGATAGCAAGCGCGATGATAATCTTCATCTTCATATCCTTCCACCACATTTGTTTCCTTACTTTGTTGGCTCCTCGCCTAAAGCCTTGAGCGGAGACAGAAAGGTTCTCGGTCTTATCTTGTAAAGCGTCGAGTCTTTCTCCTCTATCGGCAACGCGATTGAGATTGTCACGCATGATACCGACAGTCTCGTCGATTTGTGCTTGTATCATAGCAGTTGTTGTCGGTGCTCCGCCTGCGGAACCATTCTTTGGAACGTATGGGTCATATTGGTCTGACCTACATAAGACGAAATATATGTATTATGAGTTTAACAAGACAAGGATATTGTGGTAATGTGATGACAATGATAACGGCCATAGTAACGGGAGGTGTTATAGCAAGAAACAGAGTGGCATAATAGTAGAAATACCATAGTAGAATAAGAGAAAAACGCTTTCGATATAAAGCGTATACTCGTGCTTATCTATCACTACAGCTTGTACTTGACAGGAACTTGTATAGTTTGTTTTTCCTTGCTGCCTGCCCAGTTGTCAGTGACAAATACTGTGCAGCTAACTGCGGTGCAACTGAATTCTATGTGCCAGTACTGCACTCCATAATGAAGGAAAGGGTCCCGAGGCGTGCCAGTATCCCCTTTTCTATATTATCAAACAATGCTCGCACAGCCAACTCCACCCATATTCTCTAATAAATTTGACTTGCTACTTTTACTTTTTTCCTCTTATAATCCTCCCGGCACTCTCAACAACATTCACAGTCTTATTACTTCCTTCCTAGTAACACCTCCCAACAGCCTCCCATTTCAACTCTATACATACATTTTTGCTTTTTGCGAGGTTGTGCTTTTCGGTGCGAGTGGTTGTTAAATGTTGGGTGAAGAGTTAGGCTCGATAGTTTAATGACGAAAGTTGCCGAATTATGTCTTTTATACATGTGACATGCTGTGACAAACGCCGCAGGTCAAAAGTCACTTAGATTTGTAATAACAATTGTTAGAATGATCGGCAATATACAGCACTATTACAATCGAGGTTAAAAATAAAAAGGTTGAGCAGTGTAATGTTCCTTCTTTCTTTAATCTGTTTCAGTAACTCACCCATTATTATAACTCTAATAAAGGTATAGAACATACATATGCATCCAATTAATTGGTAGTACCTGTTGTATCAGAAAAAGTGAAAATGATATGACAAATGAACCTGCTTTTGGGACCGTATTATTAAGTACTGTATATTTGATTATCACAATTATAACATCTTGGCATGTTGATTTGTTGTGAACCTTCACGCCACCCAACCCAACCTTTTATGGAACTCAAATCTTTGACTCGCTATAAAACTTGGGAAACTTGGTGCGCTAACTCGGCTCATACGGCAGATTTCGGGCGTCGAACGCCACAGTTTTCACTACCAAAACCGGTACTATTATTTAAGAATTTGAGGGTTGAAACGGGCCTGCGTTTTGCCGACTTTTTCTCAAAGAATAGATATCCTCGTAAACAAATTTTGATTTTTCGACAATGAGTTATTTGTACGAGAGGAAAATAAACCTTTAACGAGTATAACATATTTCTTACTGTTGTAATATTATTATCACTCTCATAATATCGATCACAACAGTGAAATGTCTTACAATAACTTGATATACCGACAGAGATGGTAGAACAAAGGACGTTAGCAACAAAAAAGATTGCAGTTTCCCTAGTTCTTATAATGATACTTAAAATTCAACGGTTGCTTTATTATATCCAACAAATCGATGTTTGTTTACAATGAAAATTACTAAGCCGTCGTTATAAAAGTTAATTTTTGATATGCTGACATATTTGCTAACAATGGCCTTTGGGTTAGAATCGAGCGTGTCGCTATGTCGAGTCTCACGTGTACCATCTTGAGATTTGGATTCTCTTGTTTCATTAATGTCTCAATATTTGGCGAGTAAACTTTGTCGCTCGACGTTTTTTTACAGTAACAAACTGCTATATTAATATACGTTTTATATATCAGTTAACCAATCAGCTGCTCAATCAGTCAATTACAATAATTACTCGTGCCTGGTATTTTGATATACCGACAATGTCAAACCAAAAGCAACCTCTTTTCTCGACATTACAATGTCACCTGAAGAAATTGCCCCAATCTTACATGTCCAATAAGGAGCAAATATTTGCGCTGTAACCTTATTTCTGGATTTCATATCGACATAAGGTAACTATTATAATAAATTTATAAGGCTGACCTGAGTATGAGGAAAGTTTCTATATTAATTTCATAATAAAAGGTAAGGATAGCGTCACCAATCGGCAAATCTTTAGTATTTTCTGCCTTTGGAGCGGGTAGCAATCCCGAAAATATAATAACGCGAAATCCAGGCAAACTGTACATTCTTCCGGCACGATATTTAACAGGACGTATTTATGTACTGTAGTATGTGTTACAAGTCTAGATTGTAGTTGACAATTTCTGTGCGACTTCAGATAAAATTATCAAAGTAGGACAAAGCTTTCTTTTTTTCTTAAACCTTTCCCAATTTTTTACGATGCCAATCAACGACAAGTATGAAAGCCCGTTGACCGCACGCTATGCTTCACCGGAGATGTCCAATCTTTTTTCTCCGGCTACGAAATTCGTTACCTGGAGAAAGCTATGGTTACACTTGGCTATAGCTGAGAAGGAGTTGGGTATAAATGATATCAGCGATGACGCTATTGAAGACATGAAAGGCCATTTGGTAGGAAAAAGATGATATAAAACTGATATATACATGTATAGCCGAATCACCGAGTGATCGCTTCATGCCTTGCATTTACTGTGCATTGCATCTATATTTTATGCTAAAAAGGTACTTACAGAGGAAGATTTTCGTGTTGCCACAGAAGAGGAACGTCGCCGCAGACACGATGTAATGGCCCACGTACACGCATTTGCCATCACTGCTCCTCGTGCAGCTGGGATCATCCATCTTGGTGCAACCAGTTGTTATGTCACTGATAATGCCGATTTGATCATTCTTCGAGATGCCTGTAATTTATTACTGGACAAACTAGCCAGAGTGATCGACACTTTGAGCAAGTTTTGCGCTGAATATAAAGATTTGCCCACGTTAGGATTTACGCATTTTCAGCCTGCACAACTAACAACTGTTGGAAAGAGAGCTAGCTTGTGGGTGCAGGTATGTATGTGGTAGAGGCAAAGTGATAGGAGAGAGAGGGCTACCGAATAGAGGACGACGTGGTGAATAAACAACCACCTAATTATTGTTAAGCAAAGAGTTTGACGGTTGAAAAAGGTTTCTTGACATATCATGGATCTTGATTTATTCAAGGGACGCTTTATGTTAGGATTTGCTTTGGGATCTTCGTAATATTACGCGTGCAAGAGACGATATAGGTTTTAGAGGCGTTAAGGGAACCACTGGCACTCAAGCATCCTTTTTGGCATTGTTTGAGGGAGATCACGAGAAGGTATGTTTTATTTTTATTATATTCCATATTGATATGATAAATGCTGATATCTCAACTATTGCAATTGAAGGTTGAGGCTCTCGATAAGCGTGTGGCGGAACTTTCTGGATTTGCTTCTTCTTATCCAGTCACGGGTCAAACGTATTCTCGTAAAATAGATGTCGACATTCTTAGTACGATTGCTTCGTTTGGTGCTAGTACGCATAAAACGGCATCAGACTTGCGTCTTCTTGTCAGTCTAAAAGAGATTGAGGAGCCGTTCGAGAAGGATCAGATAGGAAGCTCGGCCATGGCGTACAAAAGGAATCCAATGCGATGTGAAAGAGTGTGTAGTTTATCTCGGCATTTGATGACACTAATTCAAAATGCTTTGATGACAAGCAGTGTCCAGTGGCTGGAGAGGACTTTGGATGACAGGTTAGTGCCAAAGGATGCAACTAGTAATCGTAGTGGCGAAGATTAATATGAATAGTTCTGGTGGCAACAGCCAGCGGTAGTGTGTATTGATACCAATTATAGCACAAGTAGGATGAAGACTACACTATTATCTATTACCTTTGATACTCATAACATGACTTGATTATTATTACATGATACTATTGTTACTACCATAGCACGCTTTAATTTAAACTCTTCCTTGCAATAATCACAGTGCCAATCGACGCGTTACACTTCCAGAAGCCTTCTTAACAGCAGACATAGTTTTAACCCATCTTCAGAACATCTTCGAAGGCCTGGTGGTCTACCCAAAAGTAATATTCCGTCATATAACACAAGAACTTCCCTTCATGGCAACCGAAAATATCATAATAGCTGTAGTGAAGAAGGGTGGCAACCGACAACAGTGCCATGAGGAGATTCGTGTTCTCAGCCATCAAGCGGCAAGGAGAGTTAAAGAGGATGGCTGCGAGAATGATTTGATCGAAAGAATCAAAAAGACCGAATACTTTAAGTGCATTTGGGATGAAGTAAGTACACCAATACGTAAAATTATATCGATCTTTACTTAATGACACTCACACTGGTCGTTTTATTGTTGATCAGCTTGATCAGCTGTTAGATCCAAAGACATTTATTGGTCGTGCACCTCAACAAGTGGAAAAGTTCTTGGAAGAACACGTTAAGCCAGCTTTAGAACCATACAAGGACGTTCTTAGGGAGCGTAAAGTGACGGAATTGAGCGTATGAAATGAGTTGGTTATTGAGGAGGTGGGGAGAAGGAATCTGTGGCGCACGCTTACTTGTGTACATTTGACCGTGTATAAGTAAAGTAGCGAATATAATAATAAAGATAGCTTATATTAAAATAATCCTTTATATGTTACATACTTGCCAATTTTGACGGGATTTATATGATGACGGGACACATACACCATAATGTTTATGTACGATCGCATATCGCTTATCAGTTGGAAGAATCCAATGGTGTGTATTTTATCGGTATCTATCATAATGCACCTGTTGTATCTTAACACTAAATTATCGACGCGTGATATAATGGCAACTTATCGAATTCCACCAATTCTTTGACCTTTTCCCAAGTTTTCTGTCTACTTCGGAAAGCATCTTTAGGGTTAGAATATTTTGCAGTGGATTAAACTCATTGTTGGCCTGCTTTTCAAAACTGTCACGAACAGTTTTGTGGGTAATCGATTAGGTTCTTTATTTTTGTATACGAAATATGGAAATAATTATTCCTCGCTTCGTTCAAGCTGATAACACATATACGAGAACGCGTCATAATTATCCATTAAATTTATGTCGTCGTCACGTAAAAGTTCAACCTTTCGATAAATACAAAAACCGTAAGTTCGATTTTGACCATGCATTTAGAAAGACTAAAATTAAATTAACTAATTTATAAATTTTTACTAAGCCAACCCACTGTAATTGTTGTCACGAGCCTTGTGGTTGATTTACCGCGATACCACACATTATCTTTAGCATGAAGGCACGAAGATATACGTCATACCACAATACGGGATCAAGGCAAACTCGAAACAGAACGCATTCTTCCCCGTGGCGCATCCGTCGGCAGTATAAATGCCATTGCGAAAATCGTCTCGTCCCGTCTCATTTCGGCAGGTCTCGCCATCGCTGGTAGTTTTCGAGACGCCTGGCATTTGCGCTGAAGTAATGGCGCATCTGCCAGTCACAGCAGGAATAGTACCCGGGGGGGCCTACCGACAAGTTATTATATTAGACCGGCTGAGATGACCAGGGAACCACCCGATTTCGGTAGTAGTAGGGAGCCACGACAGACAATATCATCCTTTGATTTAAAAATTAATTCGGTCTTCCACCGCTACATCCGGTGCTATCAGTTTACCGGGTTGAGAAGGATTGTAGTGATCTTAGATAATGGTATGGATGTTAAAAAAATTTTGATTATGTACTGCAGATCAAGCAATTTGAAAAAACTTATTTACACTCTTCACCGTAAACGCGGCGTTTTGATAAATATTACGATTTTTGCGGCTTCCTTTCCGGGGTTAATATTATTAACACCGGGAAGGCCGACATCAAAATGTCGCTCCTAAATAGAAACGAGAGTGGTTTGGAATTGTTCTCCGTCCCTCGCCAGCTGTGCTGCCACAACAAAACTCGGAAATTTTGGACGCTTGTGTTATATGCCATTGTAATAGTAAAAGTCCCTTGTTATCTTTTGCAAGGTAAAAGCGTAAAGTGCGTCAAGGGGGGTGTTTTCACAACGAAGTGCTTGCTAAAGCGAGGAAGAGAATAAATTTGCAAGTAAATATAGACAAACAGATGCTTCACAACAGCGTTTTATTATCCTCATTAATCGGTTTGCTACAAGCCAAGTTTTACTGAGATTTGCGAGGTAAAGCGTAAAGCGCGTCAAGGGGGTTTTTATTGTTATTTTTTTAGATACTTAATTCAATTTCATATGATTTTTCTAGATGTTACTGCGGAAAGTTAAATGTCGAGTTGACAAATCATACTAGGGAGGGAACATTAAACAATGTGAACCCACAATGGATGGTGTGGCTTGGCAATTGCCTTATTTTCGGAGCTGTATGGTAATTAATCTTTCCCCCTATTGGTCAGGCGAGAAACCCCCCCCCCCCCACACTATTAAATATTTCCCTTGCCAGTCGATTATTATTCGTTTCCCTTCTTTGCCTTTTCATGATCCTCTTCTTTGTTTTCAATCTATTACTCACATTGACTTCGACTCAAGGTTTGTTGGATTCGTAGATAGTCAGTTTGCGATCTGATCAACTGTACTAATGGCTTGTTTTATTGTTTCAGAGGCAACCAGACTCATTCCTGAAACTGTGGACGAAATAAACGTGGTTGAGGATAAGGAAGCATCTGGTTCGGCTTCAGCGGATCAAGTTATACCAAAAAACCTACAAAAGATTCTTAAGAATCTGAATTCGAGACAACGGGAACTCTATGACAACGCGCCCAACGATATCAAAATTAACTATTTAGAAGTAATTTATGAAGAAAAAGGAAGAGGGGTATGTGACTATATGTTTAGATGACTACGTCTCCAGATTTTTTGCTAACATAGTATTGGCTACGTCGGTATTTGCGTTACTAAATACATAGGGCTTCAGTCTCACTATAATTATCATTGCGGTAACCACACTCGCTACTATTGGGATGAGCAGACTGGTCAGTGGAAACGAATATTTGATCCATAGTAATAAATAGTCAATCGTCAACTTGATAAGATCACGTGAGTTATACAAGCAAAGAGAAATTTATCTTGGTTCTCGCACCTATTACCATAGTAATAGGCCAGTAATGTTAGGAATATATTGAAACCCAATAATCCTAACTATTACGTGGTTACCGGCGAGCTTATTATTTTCTAATGCTTTTGTTCAACATTTCTGCGAATAAAAATGAGATCTATTATTTGTATTGTTATACGACGAATTTAATAATAGTATTAGTATTTAAATAGCGATTTACGATTAATAATATTATTATTAGTACGTCAGATGATCACCTAAATGTATTTACACAAACATGTAAATATCTGAATAGATTTTAAAATAGCTATACCGCAATAATACTTATAGGATCGAATAATAAATACGATGGAAACCAACTAATAAACAACTAGTGTTCACTATGATCTCTAATGTCTTCTCTAATTGTAGGAATTCAGTCTGGCAATCTCTAGCTTTCGGCATACACTGGACTTATTAAAGTTTACAGCGTCGAGAGCTTAATCAGTTGTACGAACGATTATACGATGAAATCCCAGCAACGTTCTCAATAATACGATTATACCTAATACTAATAACAACTACAACAACACCGCTCGTACAACAGTATCAAGCGACTCTATGTTTTGCCTGCCTGCTTAACGGCCTTCATCAGTGGTATAGTGATAATTTAGAATTTATTGCATAATTACAGATATTGCTAAATTTAGTTTTAACAATACGTGTAAGACGGACATTTCGAATATAAGACGAGACGTTCGTTGGAAATTAGGTAAACTATCGTGCAACACCAATTTTGCAGTCCCGTGACTTCCGAAACTTTGTATGGTATATATAATATGTGTAAAATATACTGTAGTAGTTCCGATGTGAGGCAATAAAATTCCAGCACGAACAAATTGTTGTTATTAATTATTGTGGCGGCTAAAACGACACAGGTTAAAACGACACAGGCCCTTTAAAATGAAATTTAAGGCCATTTGAAATGTCGCGCGCAAGATTTGATCATTTGTTTATTCAAGTGAAATACAAAATTTAGATTTTACAGATAAGTCTTTTGCGTATTTGACGATTATAACGTGTATTTCACAACGTGAAATTATATGTACTTCATTGTGTATCGTTGCCAGGACAGCTTACAGCCGTGTTAATTGTGGGATAAGGAATGTCATACCTTATTGTTGTTCATGCATTGCACTTCATCCAGACGGTCATATCAGTCAAACTGTATATGTTGTATATAGTTTGTGTCCCGCGGTACGCAATTTTGCATACAGCGTGTAAATAATGACGGTTGGAACATATAAAGTGATGATAACTGAAAACAGCAAATTGCGTTATTCTTACATTAATACTTATTTTATTAGTTGCATAAAAGACAAACCTTTTATTGTCGCTCTTGTTTTCGCTTTTTAGCCCGTGCAAAACCATGGCCCGCACAAGACTTGAAGTTCTAGCGTCAATTATTTCATCGATTTCGTCTTCTTGATCTAAAATTTTTGAGTTCTGACGGTTTAGCTCTCCCTCACATTTTTCTAGTTCCCGCATAAGCTGGTAAATTTTCTTCTCATTGATTGGTACGATTAATTTCAACCTCGCGCAATTTAACTCCTCCCGTAATTCTATATTTGTTTGCGCGAGTTGCACGAATGCCGGATCTAGAAGAAAAACTTCCTGCCCCACAGACCGATTGTTGTTTTACATTGTATATTGCAAAAAACGTAAAACGTTCTTGGCATTCTAATTTCTATATGCGGGGGCGGGGATGTTTATATAGTATATTATTTATCTTAATTTATTGCGTTAAAAAATGAGTATCCCACTATATACATAAATCCTGATGATTATGTTGCGGGCTGATGTTCTACAAACCTGCTGGCTATCACTCTAATCCTCGGAGCTTATGGAAGGGAAGGATTCAATTTCCATTCGAGAAAGTGCGTGATTGGCTCATAGACCAGAATGAATGGCACAAATATGCTCCGTCACCGAAAGATATTCCAGGAGTCAGTTATGGTAAAATTTCGCTGTGTGCACCAGTGTGATCTTTTACGCCTTACCAATAATAAAGTACATAAAAAGATATTCAAATGGGTTCTTAACATTGTAGATGTCGCCAGTAGATTCAAATATTCTATACCATTGACATCAAAAAACAGTTCGGAAGCTGCAAAAGCATTTAGAAAAATCTACGACGTCCCAAATATTCCTCTTTCCTGGCCTGAGTTATTACAATGTGATGGTGGGCGTGAATTTATGGGCGAAACCACTCGATTAACATAATGTTACAATTCGGGTAATTGAATCTCTATAGTCATCGAGGCTTAGCAATTGTAGAACAATTTAATAAGACACTTGCGCAAATTTTATATAAAATTCAATACGCAGTTGAATTTCTATCTTCGAATCTAAATTAATAAGAGCATGGGTTAAGCATCTGCCAAAAGTTATCGATTACTTGAATAATTATCCAACACGTCTTATTAGAGCTCCAGGATCTTTAAGGTAGGGTTTAGCCCCAGTAATAGCTATAACATTAGAGCGAGTGGAATCTAGACCATCTACAAAATATAAGCGTCCAGTCGGTAATAGTGAAACAAAGCTAAATAAAGGTGACACAGTTCGATATTTGCTTGCTAACGCCGAATGGAAAGGTGGCATGGAAAATCAGAAACGTGCAACTGATCCAATATGGTCTCCGACTTTATTTACAATTCGAAAAATTATAGTGTCAAAGAATGAACCAGTTTTATATTATTTAGATGGAGAATATGCCCCATCACGTGGATTGTGCGCGAAGAGCTCATGCACGTAAATCCAGAGAAAATTCAATCCCGCCTCAAAGAATATTATTCTCCACTTTTTCCCCAGCATTCTGTTTACCTCTGGGAGATGTCATTCTAATTCTACTATTTCAACATAGTAAATAGAGTTTACTATCCATTATGCCTCGAAAACAGAAAAGACTAGTCTTCCTTTGATACAAAATCCTCCCCAAGCAAAAATCTTATGCCTGTCTTTTGGCATTAGGCGGACAGGCCTTGTATTTTTGTACCAATGTTTAATTGTGTTGCTAAACAATTGGAAGGCAGTTTCATCAGTAAATATTGTCTTTTTCCAACTGTCATTAAGGTGATGATATGCCCATGCAACACGATTTTCTTTATGGGTTGATGTAATTGGTGTTCATAGGGGTAGACTGTTCTTATAACCTTTTTTAGCCAAATGCTTAGTCATTGTTGTGCAAGAAACTCCACCATTCTTGCAGCAATTGATTTTCCAGACATAGAAGAATCCTGCTGAACATACTAATACTGACTGATTGCACATAACACATTGGCAGTAATCTTTCTTGGTCTGCCATTGCTGACACTCCCATTTTTCTCAAGCTTGTTTATATTGTAATATATTGTACTCAATGGCATATGAGTACAGGAGTGTAATTCAGAAGCATCACGTATCCCTTCGTTCCATACATGTAATAGTTTTGACGTTGTGTTTTTTAGATGATGGTGACATTTTAAATTTCAATTAAAGAAAACAGAGCAAACAAAGTCAAATCAAAAGTTTGTGAGCAGGTAACAACAAAAATTTGCATTTTTAATGACGCGATTTGGGTAGGTTACACATGTATGAAAAACTCGGAATAATTTTCCTTCACACTGTATGTTCATAGCACAACATACCAGTATAATAGACATGAAGGTAGGGTAGACTGGACCATGGATATTGATCCACCTGTTCATGAACAAAATTGACATAATATATAGTTGACAATGGTTTATCACTTAGATTGAACGCGTTCGAAAGCTAACGATTAAATATCCTAATTCGCCACCCAGATAATTGCGGGACAAGAGGCAATTATCCTTGGTTGATATACAGATATAACGGTTTCTCAGATATATCCATAATATAAGTTCAGAGTAAATGCGATACTCGTTTATTAACAATAAGATATGGATTTATAAAGATACTATGCGAAACACTGCGAACATAACACACCGATTCTAGCTGAAACCCCTACTGCTTATATATCTTTTGATCGGTCTAATTGATATATTTTTAGCAGCTACTTCTATTATTCTATCGATAGTCTATTGGTATACGTTTGAATACACAGAAGCAGTGAACGGACAGTGAAGGGACACAGAGAATACGTCACCGATTGCGGGCGCATCACACTTGGCTCCTGGTTTCATGTCCTTTATTAGATGCAACTAAGGTGGACCTCTAAAGCTGCTAATTGTGAAAGGGGCTCTTTCTTGTATCCGGCAATGTTCTGTGTCCTACTGTCTAAGTATTCCACTTCTTTGAAGCTGAGAAGATATTTGTAAATATAAATGAATGGATACATGAGGTTCTATTTTAGACTTATTGATCATATTTTTACACACTACTCTACGTCCCCAATACCCGAGTCACAAAGTCATTACCTGGTTGAGTTGTTGTGGTGAGTGACTTCCACATGTGCTATACGGTTTCAAACATCCTCCTCCAGACGCTTCTCCTTCTCCTCCAGTTTCTCCCACAGCTGTTGTTGCACTGCCTTTAGGTCTGCTCACCCTCAGCGTCTCCAATAACTTCCCCTGCGTCGCGCTCTCCTTAAACTCCTGCAACACCCTCTTCGCCTCGTCAAGCTCATTGATTGCACGTTCTTCCCGTTGTTTAACTTCAATACTCGCCATTTCTTTTTTTCGTTAAGCGTTTGACGGAAAGGCGATTTCTTTTTCGGAGTATTTATTGGCTTTGTTTTCGGCCTGTTGATAAATGGCATGACTTTTAACAGCCAACTCCGCAATATGGGAATATAAAGCATGTAATTCTGTAGAACAGACTTCGTGGAAAAGTTACAATATACAATAATTAATTTGTATCTTGGCTTATCAAAGTATCTCGCCTAACGATTTTTTTGGGGTGGACTGCAGACAAAGTGAGCTTACAGAAACTTGCATTTTTTAAAAAGGTGTTGATAACCATGTGACATTTACAACATTTACAATCAGAAAATATCGCTAAATTAAAATTTATTGTTGTACGATTGAACCCATCCCTTTCTTCAGCTTTTCTCTTTGCAAGAAAGTCCTATACACTTTATTTCGATTGACCAGATAGGGCGTTTTCCAACTTTCTTTGCCTTCGACTGTATTTGTCACTTGAACTTTTCTTCACCTGAGCAAACGGATTCTATCAAAGTCCAAGTCTTGTGCACTGGTAAGTTGAAAAATTTTCAACACAAATGCTTCTACAAGGGGGTGACGAGTAAACTTATTTGCACGTCAGTCAAGAATGAATACGTGTTGACCCAATATATATACCCAAATTTCTGACCATTGGGAAGTATATTCCAATATGTGGTTATAGATGAATACGTATTAATTGACAAAAGTCTCATTTCTCTAGACATAATACGCTATATACGACCGTCAGCATTCCAGTTGCATAAGATGATTGAATATGACATGTCCCTCATATTATTTTATTATATATTCAAGGGATAAATACGAGTTTTACGTTTAGTGCGACTAATATGAATTTTACATTATGAAACACCATTCCCATTTCCCTGGGCATCTCTTAACGCAATCTTGGTCGCTTTGAACTGTTCAGACAACTTTGTGGCTGTCTGATCGATCCATTGCAACGAAGTTAGGTGTGCGTTCAAGATCTTGACAACTTCATCAAGCTAAGAAAGGCATCGAAGAAAAAAAAAAAATAAATGATAATTCGTAAGACGATAAAAATAACGTTCGATTGACAAAATTGCGTACCGCATCCTCCTCTTCATTCTGTGCAGAAATGTCTGTTTCATCGCCCAAAGCAACAGCATTTGATGTTGACATGTTACGATTGACTTCTGTTATTATTGTAGCCAGAGTTTGACCCATTTTATCCAAATCTTCATTCATCGACTCGACCAGTTTATAACTATAGAAAAGAGAGAGGCCGTATAAATTTAAATTATCAATCACGTATCCGGCTCAGATTTTTGATGTATACCTTTTCTCGCGCGTTTTGTCAACTGCTGTCTCTGCAGTAATATTTGCATATTTCGTTTCATATTGTTCAACTATTTTCTCCAAATACCCGGATTGCTCAGCTATATTATCCAGATCTGAACGAATTACTTGCTGAATGCTTTTGATACTTTCAACTTGGTTAGCAATTTCACCGACCTTTGAGAAGATATATATTAATAAATGTTGCACAAACAATTGATATACAGTCTAATTCAATACACCTACTTTCCCAATATTATCGATGACTTTACGGTCCATTTCACCAATTTCCTTTGCTTGACTATGAAATCCCTTTTCGCATACATCTAAATCCTTATTCCACTTGTTCATAATATCTTCAATTGATGCAGTCTTCAACCAATTAGGAATCGTCGGAGCTGATCCTGATGTCGTTGCTGGTGTTGAAATTGGTTTTGGTAATCTTGATGTCGTTGCTGAAGTTGATGTCGTTGCTAAAGGTGATGTCGTTGCTGTCGTTGCTGTCGTTGCCGTCGTTGCCGTCGTTGCCGTTGTTGCCGTCGTTGATGATGTCGCTATCGGCGCTGCCGATGGTGGTTTAGTCGATAATGATATTTTAGGTTGTGGCATGGTTAAAGATGAAGTCGTACTTTGTGGTGTTGTAGATCGAGCAAAGAAATTACTTCCGAGCGAAGGTTTGGTGGAACTCGCCTGCGACATTCCACCTAAACTAAAGGCAGTCCCAGTGGCAGCGGTAGTTGAAGTGGTAGAAGTAGCTGTGGCAGTGGGGGCAATTGTGGGGGCAATTGTGGGGACAGTTGTGGGGGCAGTTATGGGGGCTGTTGATGTTGTTGTTGTTGTGGTGGTGGCTGTTCCACCGAACAAAGGTTTAGGAGAGGCCGCCTGAGAAAGTCCTCCAAAGCCAAAGCCTAACCCAGTGGAATTAGTAGTATTAGCAGTATTTACAGCTCCACCAAGCGGCGACTTGGTGGAAGCTGCCTGTGAGAACCCTCCGAATCCCCCAAATCCAATCGGCGCAGAGGTATTGGTTGTGATTGTGGTTGCGGGAGTAGTAATGGCAGCGGGAGCAGTAGTGGCAGTCGTCGATCCGAATCCACCAAATGAAGGTCTGGGAGAGTTGATTGTGGTTGCGGAAGTAGTAGTGGCAGTGGTAGATCCGAATCCACCAAATGAAGGTCTGGTAGTGTTCGCTTGAGAAAGTGCTCCGAAACCGAAGCCAAATCCTGGGGAAGTGGAAGCAGAAGCAGAAGTGGAAGTGGAAGTCGTAGGTGCAGTCCCACCAAACAAAGGTTTGGTAGGCGTCGGCACCCCAAAACCAAGGCCAAGCCCAGAGGGTGCAGAAGTAGAAGTTGTGGTGGTGGTATTTGCAGTTCCACCAAACAAAGGTTTGGTAGAGGACGCCTGCGAAAGCCCCCCAAAACCGAAGCCAAGCCCAGTAGAAGCAGGAGCGGAAGTTGTAGAAGCATTGATTCCACCAAACGAAGGTCTGGTAGAGGCCGCCTGCGAAGGTCCTCCAAAACCCAATCCACCAAATCCGGAAAAGGTTTGTGGTGACTGTGCTGCAGCGAACGGAGAAGTTCCCGCACTACTAGTGATCGCAGTAGCAAACGGGGATGTCGCTGCTGTTGTTTGTGATGCGCCGAATGTCAGTGGCGTTGCGCTTTGAGACGCCGAGCCAAAACTTAATATTGAGTTGTTATTTTGCATTGCGCCGCCGAAAGACGGAGATGCTGCATTAGTCGAGCTACCAAAAGAGAATCCGCCTGGATTCTGACCAAAGCCTAAACTTGAAATAATCGGTTATTGCACTATCCGTTTAGCAATATATCGCGTTGGGCAAAACAAGAAGCATTGTAAATCGTGTATTGTTATATAAGTACCGTACCGAATGTCGGTCTTGTCGTAGAATTATTGTTTCCCTGGTTGAACGCCATTTCATACTAAGAATCCTAAATTTTTGGGAAACACATGATATTTATCGCTGAGACGCGCGCAGACTACCAACTCCTGCGGTGGCGCAGCATAGGCAGTACAATAATATTAACCCATCAAAGTGCAAACCGCAATAATAATGATATTCGATAAACTACATATGTCAAATAAATCATGAATAAAGGTTGCAAGTGACCATGGATACCGTAAACCAATTATAATTCTACCGATGTCAATGTTAATTAATGTAATCCTAATTCACTTTGTCTCCACGAGTTCGTCAAATGCTCGAATCCTATCTTCGCATAATAATTTCTATAGTGAGACAAAGAATTAACGTTATTTAAACATGAAAAGTAAAGTATATGTATAATTACTTTGAATAAACTTATTATGCCCCTCAATCGGCTGAAGATGAAAGTTGTATTTAACAAAATTTCGTAAACAAAGTTAATTAAAAACCAACTGGCTCTGGCTACTGGCTATAAAAAGTACAAACTTCATTACATATTTATTATACGTGGCATTTGCAGCAAAATCGGAAAAGTGAACATGTAAAATTATTCTCAATAAAACAAGTTTATATAACAATAACGATAAGGAAAGTAAAACTACATATTAGAAATGCCAATGGGCAACAATTCTGCAATTATAATGAATAAAATAAATACTTGCCTTGAAGCAAATAAAGCTTAAAATTTTGACTAGGCTAAAATTTTTTTCGTATGGAATTGGAATGTGTCCCTTTATAGATTTTGTTCAAAGTGTCCATTATGTACTAAAAAAACAACCCAAAAAATAAGACATGTATTTATTCAAGGTAATGCACCAAACAAACCGTCATTCTCTAGCTCAAAACTTTACCTCTTTAGTCAAGAATATAGAGAAATACGATAGAGGGGTGACATATTGTGGGCTTCGTGATCTGTATCTAAGTACTTATACGCATATAGAAATAGATAAGAGCTTTACATTTGGCGCTGTCTATAGTGCAATGTTCTAACCCAATCGAAATTTCATATTGATATTCCGCTTTCTATTACGCAACAAGCATCGCTGCTTTGGTTTACTTTGTGTCAATAGCCAATAGCAAATTATGGCAACACGCCATTCGTCAACTCCTTATTGTGTTACTTTTACGTTTATTGTCGTACAATCCATTCACAATAAAAGCGCCAACCCTTCGCGTGTTAACATAACAACCATACTAATCTCAAATTGACAAGTGGCAGAAAGCCGCGTTATCAAAGAGTCGCTACTAATATATTTTTTTCTCAGGCTCTCCGCGAATATTATTCAGTAACACAATGTCCACTTCAAATGCAAATTCCGTTCCAACATTACAAGTAGTCCAGGGATGGGACCGTGCAGATGTGGTAAATTTTCTAAAAGCAAGACAAAATGAACTAGAACTTGAAGATGGAGAAACTGAGAGATTTAATACTCGGGGAATGAATGGTTTAGCTTTTCTCGAATTAAATGTAAAAACACTTACTCGCAAACGCGGCGCGTTTGAAATACCATACGGAGTGTGGCACAAAAAATTATAAGGTTAATTAAAAGAAGCAAAGACAAAGGTAATTTCTGCTATAATTACAACATATGCCTTCAAACTCCACACCCTCCCTGTTAGTATAGCTTTAAATATCATCTTGTTATTAACGTTGCACGTTAATTGCAGTCCCATACATTTATTACGAAATGCCTGAATACTCCTTACTCACATTCCATCTAACTGTAATATTGCCTAAAAAAATAAGAGCATATGGGTTCGTTATAGGAATAATGATGCTGTCTCCTTTGGATAAGAAGAACTGGAGAAGAAAAATATACATAACTTACATAATCTCGAAAGGTTGATCAAAGATAAATTGCAATCTCTTAAAGACTTTTCAGAAGAATTAATCCGCCTTCGCAAAGGAAAGTATGTCTTGAAACCCAGTACATCTATTGCTAATTATACAGTGCAGAAGATGAGGCATTAGTGATTATTATAATCGGGGAAAAGGTATGTGTAAAATGATTGTATCCGAATCTTTTGAAATATACACGCTTATTTCTGACATTTATCATCGTTAGATGATGAGAGCTTGTACGGAGAGGAAGGAGAAGAAAGTAAGAATGCATGGTTAAGGCTATTGGCGCTTTGCGTTACTAAACAATAATTATTTCTTATTACCCGCCCGCTTATTATACTGTACATCTTATAATTTTACAGGTGCGAGTAATATTGAACCAAATCGTATTGAAGGAGCATTTCAAGTCGAATACCAAGGCACAACCTTGGAAACTTTCTATTCGCGACTAAAACAATTTCATAATGAATGGCAGATAAAACATACGCCCCTTACCTAACAATCATACAAAGCCCTGGTTCTGGTAAAACACGACTCGTTAGGGAGCTGAGAACCAAGGGGACCTATATCCTGTACATTTGTAAACGGCATGGGAGTAGTTCTGGGTATCCTGCATCAACACCTTACGTTAAAAAATTCTGAAAACAATTCGAGACCATAAATTCGGAGCTCTTTTATTTATAGCGATCAAAGAAATTAAAAGTAAAGACTGGAGCGCAGAGGAGTTTTGGAATATTCAAATCAAAGATGATCACAAAACTGAGTGTAATGAATTCTGGCAAAGTGTCTTTAAATCGTTATTACAACAAAGAAGTATTTCATCAGATTACGGCAACGAAAATTTTGTAAAGAAATTATTTCCCGATACGGAAATACCTATAGTTTGTTCTATCGACGAGGCACATGAATTGCTTACAAAGGCAAAAGGTGATGAAACCTATTTTGTTCAATGGAGACGACAAATTCGAAAAATTTCATGGGTTGGGTTCTTTAATATTCTTCTCAGTACAAGTGGGAAGATTGGCAAATTCCTCCCTCCAGTGACAAAAGACACTATCTCTGCCAGATCATATGATTTCATTATATTTCCCGCGTATTTGGATGTCAACACCATGGATATACTAGCATCACTTGCTGAAAATGTTGGTCTATCAAGACTTTATCCAATGCCCAATCAAATCTTGCCTGCCTGGGTATGAATGAAATTGGTAGTAAAGCTTCGAATGTAACCATGCATTTTATTCAGAACGATTATCATCAAACTCATTACCAGCTTCATAAACTTTAGGTATTTACATAATGTACTCTATATTTTTCTTACATATTCAAATGATCAAAGACAGTTAATAGTAAACGTGCGCGATTTATTTCAGAATTCTGTTACTCAACCAGATTGACATGCATAAAAGCATATCGTATTTGGAAGAGGAATAAATCCGTGAATTACAAGTTAATTCAAAAAAGAGGTTGAGTCTCTAAATTATAAGGAATGGGCGATGTTAACATTGTAAATTGACTTCATTTGTATCAACATATAACTGCATACCTGGAGCTGAATCCAAATCATAGCTATTTCTTGGTTTAGGTAATTCTCCTGTAGGTAAGAGCTTACTAGAGTATTTACTTTCCTTTTCGAGA